ATATGTTCATGAAATTTTCTGAAAGAAGATTTCATTCTTTACAGACTGTAACGCTATCAGTAAGAGAAACCAATATCGATCACAGCATGTCATCAACCAATGTTCCAGCCTCCTAATTCTATCGATAGCAGAAAGAAACCAATTCGTATCTAATGACAATGTATGATATCCACCTAAAACCACGAGTTTTTAGCAAATTCACTATGCTAACATAATGGTACTGGCCAAGTTAATTCAAACAACACCTGCAGAAGAAGTCCAGATTAGTAGAATAGAATCTTGGAAAAATGAACTGTTAGTAAATCCGACGTGCATGAAGCTCGGTCCCATAGACTTATGGCATCCAGAAAACTGAAGACGGTCTTCTTAAGCATAACACGGAATATTGACACCCTATTTACAGCTTCTACTTTTACAGGTATATTAAAGGTGTAAATACAAAAATTGTACAGTATTGGCTAAATTTTTAAAATCCATGGCCAGAAACAAAAATTGAATGTCAGAAATGTGAAATGTTGCATGTTTTCAGGTTTTTTCGAATGGGATACCCTATATTTGGTTTTATATTCTTGAAAAGCACAATTTTCCCGATTTCAAAACTATATAATTCGTTTATATTTGGTAGAACCGTCTCCAACATATTTGGTTCTAAAAATGTTAAAAATACTATCAGAGAAACCAAGTAGCTACCTTATGATTTAGATTTTGGAAAATTTTGAAAGGTCATAACTTTTTCTCTATTAAAGATAGAAAGCTGAAATTTCCAACGATTCTTATCTCAGTAGAGGACTACAATCCCTGAAAATTTCACAGCATTTGAATGGTTCACAAAATCAGTAGTAAGATAGTATTTTTATAATTTTTGGAGCTGAATATATGAGAGAAAGTTCAATCAAATATAGATCGAGGCATTGTGCTCTTCAAGAATATAGAATGAAATATAGGGCATCCCATTTAAAAAATGCTGGATGCATGCAACATTTCAAATTTCTGACATTCAAATTTTCTTTCTGGTTTCTAAAAATTCAGCCAAAATTTTACAACTTTTGTATGTACACTTTTTTTTCTACCTGTAAAGGTAAAAGCTGTAGGTGTCAATATGTCAATATATAAAAAAAAAAACCTGTACCTACCTATTTAAAATCGTCTTATTCTCCTAAATAGTTCTCCCATTCCCATATTTTTATGGGCCATTTTTTCGAAAAACCGTATCTTGCACAATGCGCTGCCAAAACTAACCCAAACTTATCCAATCTGGTTTACTTTAACCAGATCTGTATCCGCCCCTAGTCCAAACTCAACCATTTTTGAGAAAAAGCCCTTGAAGTTTTGACATTTTTTAACGAATATTTGAGAGATAAATATAAAATATTAAGTAAATATGCATTTTCAACCTACTTTAATTCTTTTTTTATCCTGGGAATCCAGCTCCAAATTTTAGAATTATTTAATATTAGATTTCAATGGACCATCAAGACACACATTTTTATAAATTCAAATTCTGCGATAACTAGCATGGTAGATAGGACAATAGATTTAGCTTGAAATAGGCCATATTATCTCAAATTAAAATATTTGTACTCATACTTTGATACACCCTGTATATATCTATAGCCACCTAAATAAAACTAAAATGAGCTTTCTTCTACATACAATAAAAGCATACCTATTCTATTTTCAAGGATTGAAAAATGTGATTTCTAAACAGACAACCCTTCTTTGGATTAAAATACTACACGCGTTTTTACCTTTTCTTTGTCTTCAAGTTTTCGACAAATCTCTGTCGAAACATACCAGACGAGCCCTTTAATTTTCCATATTAGTACAATGGCTCCCAGGGAGTCTGTTGTGGACGTTAGAAGTACGAGATTGTATTGTTTTGGGCCTCATTGTTTTGCTTTGGATAATAATTAATAATATGTGTTCTATTTGCAAACTCACATTAATTAATTGTATTTGAGGATAATGGAAAGACAACTCATGAATTTAGAACATTGAATTTCCATTTGACTATAAGTCTTCAATATTGTACAAAATCAATCAAACAATTAACAGGATTTGCACGTGTCGACATTTCCATAAAAAACCAATTGGTTCTCTGGAAAACAATAGAAAGGGCGATTCAATAATTAATTTTTGCTAATCGGAAATCTATCGACAAAAAAAGGCGATATGCCGGATTTTTTATTTTTCGTACGTGTAAAACATGCAAAATTTCCCACATTCACCAAATACACTGAAACAATGGAATCAATTCAGCAAAATCTAATCCGCCGCTGGGTATTAATCACGCATCAACATCATCATACCAAAACTGAAATGTACATGACTAGCAAATTATTTGCAAATTATAAATAGATGTCTGCGTTCACAATGCAGAGGACATTTTCTGCTTGAATAAAATTAGACTGAAGAAGCCCCTATGAAATATGGAACAATCGTAATCAATGGAAACTTTCTAAAAATGTTTGTATGCTCTATGCAAAACTAAAATTAACTTTTCAGACAACATTGTATCAAGTTTTAATCTGTATATTGGTTTTTACTCAATAACCAATACATACAAGATCCTTGTTTTTGCTCTCTATACCCCTCGAAACTAAATTTAAGGGCCTAAGAAGTTTATATAGGGGCTGGCTTATTCAATTTCGCAGACGTTCAAAGTTTATGAATGTGTTGACCCTTTCTTGCCGATAATTCGAATCGAATTTACATTTACCAATTTTGATATCCCGCAACGAATTTTAATAAAATACCGACTAGTTGTTGAATTAAATGAGAGGCAATCATGCTAATGAAGTTTTCACGTTGGGGCTTTACTTATTTAGAGTTTTGCCGTTTATTAGCAGAAAAAACAAATTGAGTTTTCGAGCAGCATCATTTTTCGCCTTTTCCAGTTAAGATATTCGTTAGGAAGGAAAGTCGTTTAAAATTAGACATCTTCCACTTTACTTTGAAGTAGATTGAGATGTCGATAATCATCAGATATCATAATAACTTTAACTCCTAAAGTAATAGAGAGCAGAGAAAATGTATCATATCCAAATAAATGGTGTAAATACATAAGAATATGAATAGAATTGAGCAAAAGATTTATGCCGATAGCTTCACTGGTTTCCAAAATATGGCTCTTTGAAATATTTGAAAATCAAATTCCCATGCATACCCCTTTGAAAAAATTTGAATTTTTAAATTTTTGAATTTTGCAATTTTTGATTTTACCAATCGAAAGAGGAGGTGAAACTTAGTGTAGAAGCATTAACGCAACTTTGTTTTTTGGGTTTTAGAGCTTGTAAAAAAATAAAACCGTTTTTCCACATTTTGGGCTCAGAAAATTTCAATAATCTGACATTGTCTCATAAAATCGCTCATTACTCGGTTATAACTGCCACATATGATGATGTATAATTATATATTTTGAATCAAAATTAAATTATCTTTAAGATAAAATAGGATTCAATTCTCTATCTTAAATACTTCTGGAAATATTGAGGCTCAAAGTCAAAAATTTGTTTCAAATTTCACAAAAGATTCAAAGCTGATTTTCTCAAAAACGAAGCCCTTGGTTTCGGAGTCTCAAATAACCTTTTTTATAGCCCTTCTAAAGAGCTAGAATTGAGCAAAAGATTTATGCCGATATCTTCACTGGTTTCCAAAATATGACTCTTTGAAATATTTGAAAATCAAATTCCCATGCATACCCCTTTGAGAAAATTTGAATTTTTAAATTTTTGAATTTTGCAATTTTTGATTTTACCAATCGAAAGAGGAGGTGAAACTTAGTGGAAAAGCATTAACGCAACTTTGTTTTTTGGGTTTTAGAGCTTGTAAAAAAATAAAACCGTTTTTCCACATTTTGGGCTCAGAAAATTTCAATAATCTGACATTGTCTCATAAAATCGCTCATTACTCGGTTATAACTGCCACATATGATGATGTATAATTATATATTTTGAATCAAAATTAAATTATCTTTAAGATAAAATAGGATTCAATTCTCTATCTTAAATACTTCTGGAAATATTGAGGCTCAAAGTCAAAACTTTGTTTCAAGTTTCACAAAAGATTCAAAGCTGATTTTCTCAAAAACGAAGCCCTTGGTTTCGGAGTCTCAAATAACCTTTTTTATAGCCCTTCTGAAGAGCTAGAATTGAGCAAAAGATTTATGCCGATAGCTTCACTGGTTTCCAAAATATGGCTCTTTGAAATATTTGAAAATCAAATTCCCATGCATACCCCTTTGAAAAAATTTGAATTTTTAAATTTTTGAATTTTGCAATTTTTGATTTCACCAATCGAAAGAGAAGGTGAAACTTAGTTGAAAAGAATTAACGCAACTTTGTTTTTCGGGTTTTAGAGCTTGTAAAAAAATAAAACCGTTTTTCCACATTTTGAGCTCAGAAAATTTCAATAATCTGACATTGTCTCATAAAATCGCTCATTACTCGGTTATAACTGCCACATATTATGATGTATAATTATATATTTTGAATCAAAATTAAATTATCTTTAAGATAAAATAAGATTCAATTCTCTATCTAAAATACTTCTGGAGATATTGAGGCTCAAAGTCAAAACTTTGTCTTAAATTTCACAAAAGATTCAAAGCTGATTTTCTCAAAAATGAAGCCCTTGGGTTCGGAGTCTCAAATAACCTCGTTTTATTTAGATAAAATTCAGTGAAAATTTCAGCTTTCTATCTATAATAGAAAAAAAGTTATGACCTTTCAAAGTTTTCCAAAATTTAAATCATAAGATGTGCTTTATGGGTTTGCAATTGGGTTGCTTATGACCGTGTTTGGGTTGTGCTTCAAGGTAGCTTTTGATAATTATTGTAAAAGGAAATCAGAATATCCAAATTTATGGTCACAGACTCAGTTCAATTATATACGTCCTTGGCTTCATCTCCACGAATAATAACATAGTCATATAAAGATTTTAAGCCACGATAATACCTAAATATAAAAACATAAGTATATATGTATCAAAAAAATTCTTACCGTCTAAAATCCCTACTCCAACAAGCATAAATAACAGGATTCATGCTCGAATTGATCCATCCGAGCCAGGTGACCACCGCCAAAACGATTTTCTCGTGCCAGATGCACTGCAAACAGAACCCGGACAGTAAATTGACCACGAAAAACGGCAACCAACACACTATAAACACGCCCATAACAATCCCCAACGTTTTGGCCGCCTTTTTCTCTTTGGCAAATTTGGCCAGTTTTCTGCTCAGCGAAAAGTTTTTGCTGTGAGTACCAAGCCGCGTCGACGGTATCCTATTGAGGCCGTTATTCGCCAAAGCAGTCAATGGTTCATCTTCGGCAGTACTATACAATCTATTATGTTCACTTTGTGGGGTTTTACATGAAGTACCACCTCTATGAATTCTTAAAGTGAGCTCCAACTCTCCAGCACCTATAAGGATTTGTTTAGTGCCTAATCTCAAGCTTCTGGTTTGAGCAACTGCTGCTCTATAAATTCTATAATAAGTAAAAACCATTACAAATAATGGAAGATAAAACGAAATTGTTGACGAAAATATTAAATAACCTAAGTGCTCGGTAAATGGGCATTTATAGTCGGGTATTGGCTCAGTTCTGACAGCTCTCCACCAGACTATTGCCGGAAACGAAATAGCACTTGAGCAAACCCAAACTGCAGCTATCAATACAACAGATCTTAATCTGGTCATGCGCATGGGATAAGCTATCGGGTCAGTTATGGCCCAGTAACGGTCCAGACTTATGACGCATAGATTCAAAATCGAGGCAGTTGAAAATAGTACGTCCAACGACCGCCAGATGTCGCACCAATCAGGCCCGAAGAACCACGTGTGGCCTAGGACTTCGTACAATGCGCTGAAAGGCATCACTACTAGTCCGACTAGGCAATCAGCTACCGCTAAGGACGTTATAAAATAGTTTGTTGGCGTGTGCAAGTAGCGTTCGCGGATTACGGCCATTATTACTAGGGTGTTACCGAACACCGTGCATAAGGAGAATAGGAGTAGTAAGGATACTACGACTGCTCGGTCTTGGATTAGGACTGTCCATTTTTCCCAGGCTTCATTTCCTGGGTTTGTTGTGTTGACGGTGAGGTTTTCGTAGTGGGTCCAATTCAGCCAATCGGAGGCGTAGTAGAGGTCGCTACGGTTCATAGTTGAGTTTTGAGTGGCGATCGGACATTTCTGGAACAGAAGATATTTTGATTTAGTTTTAAAGATCAATGGGGTTTCCGTTATGTCTGGTATTTTGAAGACTAAATGTAGCCAGTTAGCTGATGAAAATAAGGAATAATGCCTATTTTTTGTTCAAAAGTTCAGAAAATAAATGTATATCCTACTGAACTATCATAACCTTATTGATACCTTGGTTATCATAGTCATAAACAGGGTCTTAACTCCCGCGCGGGAGTTGAGGATATCATAATTCCCAAGGGAGTTATGATTTCCATAATTAGGTAAAACTTTGGGAAAAAATAGAAATTTTGGTTTATGGTTCATTCCTTTATAAAAATAAACAAAAAATACAATAAATTCAGTAGGATATAAAATTATCTATGTACCACGGAAATTATCAGGTGTTGATACCCTCATAATTCCCTTGATACATAAATAACTATTTCATTAACATGAAACTCTACTACGAATTTGGCTATACCAGCAGCTCCCTCACCAAGAGCTCCCAGTACAGACAGTCCAGCAAATAATGAAGGAAAAAGTAAAATACATAGAAAGCTATCTGATAAATTTTACAACTTGCATTTTCATATTAAAAAATACTCTCCGATTGTTTATACATAATTTCGTTGGTTACGATTCTGGCACGTGAAATTTCTAATTTCGCCCACAACAACCCGTTGGAAACCGAAAATAAATGACCTTGACCTCATAAAATCCGACTCCAAATCTCGGAATAATTTAGTGTATGGATTTCGAGAGATTCCGAAGCACCATTAGGACACAAAATCTCAACAAAAAAATTTTTGAAATTTCTACCTTATTATTTAGATTTTGGAAAACTTTGAAAGATCATAACTTTTTTTCTATTAGAGATAGAAAGCTGAAATTTTTAGCGATTCTCATCCCAGTGGCGGACAATAATCCCCAGGGCCGAATTGGGAAATTTTTTCGGCCCAAGTTGGAGTCCTTATATCGACCCACCCAGTGACTCAGTGAGAGATCTATGGGGCAATGGGGGCAATGGAAGCAATGGAAGCAATGGGGGCAATGGGGGCAATGAGGGCAATGAGGGCAATGGAGGCAATGAGGGCAATGGGGGCTTGAGCCCCCTTAGTAAATTTGCGTGTGACTTTGGTATTGTATGTAGTAAGTGGTAGTGGGTAGGTTCAAAAATATTGAGTTCCTAACTAAAAATTTATTTCTATATCAAACTTGTTTGTTTTATATTTTTGTTGTTTTACTATACCTACCTTAACAAACAGTTTGAATACTTTGTTATGTAGTATTTAAGCCTATATTTTCAATAAGTTGTTGGATTATTATTTTCTTTCCGTTTGTTTTAATGATAGGTATGTTCACATCACATGAATATATCATGATGTACCAATACACTGAGATTTTTTCACCTAGTTTATCATGAAATTTTCTATACAGACTGGACCAACCTACTAAACACATAGGGAGTAATAAGACGAATTAGCTTGTACCAGGTTAAGGCGAATTGAATCGCTACTACCCACTGGCGTAGCCAGGGAGGGGAACAAAGGGGCATTTGTCCCCTTCTCCCACACCTTTAAATGTTATTAATAATTCAAAATTAAAATAAACGAAAAAATCAATTCAAGTCCTAGGGAAATAATCAAATACATACATATCTATATATATAAACGTGAAATTCACTCACTCACTGACTGACTGACTGATTAAACACGAAATCTCGAAAACTACTAAACCAATCGAGATGAAATTTTGCAAACAGGTAGGTAATAGGTTGGAGATGCTCACTAAGAAATAATATCAACATGGCCCTAAGCAATCGCCTTAAATAACCAAAAATAAGAAACGGTGTGGTGCGGGAGTGCGGAGAAAAAAGTGTAAACAGAAACAGACGACGTGTCAGCTGTCAAATTCAGAAATATGACAAGCAGAATCAAATTCATAGCGATTTCCATTTGCAGAATCAGTGCAAAAAAAAATGTGTTTTTGTCGTTAGGTATATTTTCATGCTTTCACCAGAAACGTTTCGGAACCGATTCTGAACAAATTCCACCGGTCCCAGGCTAAGCTAACTTCAAGTTTGAGATATGACATTCGCAATTCGTTCACGTAATCGACAGTCTGGAGCAAGGTTCTGGAGTTTTTGTTCGGTTCCAAAACTGTTCCCAATAAAATAGGAACCTGAACCCATTCACAAGTTGGGTTCGGGTTGCTCACTCCGAGTTACTCCGATCGCACTCCAGCCGTTATCTGATTAGCTAAAAGGTAATACCTGAACGGCTGAAGTGCGAACGGAATCACTCGGAGTGCACGGAGTGAGCTATAACTGGGCATGCGCTCTACGATAGTCCTCAATTAGTTCTGGACTGGTTCGGAATCGGTTCAAAATATGATCCGCGAACAAAGCTATTAGCAGCGAGTGGCACTTCAAAAAAATTTAACGTCAGCTGTCAAAAAATAGTCTTCATATTCTGCAGCCACAAAGCAGAACAAAAAAATGTGGTTTACAGAGAGGTGCTGCAAAAATAAGAGTTACATGACCATATGTCTGACGCAACTATCCCCTTAGCTCTTTGAAAGAAGATTACCTAATGCTACCTACACCCTACACCTACAAAATTTGTATAGGGCGTGCGAAGCCGCGGGCAACAGCTAGTATTATAATATAGGTAACGCTCTACGGCTATAAATTCTTATTAAAATTTATGGCCGTATCTCCGCTTGCCCCCACCAATAATCGTAAAAAGACCGAAAAAATTCGCGCCTGCGACGCTTTGCCTCCGGTGGCGCTTGCGTCGAAGATGCAAGGATCACTTCCTGCAAATTTGACCCCCTCACCCAAAAGACAAAATCCTGACTACGCCAATGGTGTTGCCGAAGCCGAGTATAGCAGAGCTGCCGAAGCTGCACGAATTTTAATAATAAAAGGGAAGATCAATGATCCATCAGCATGGCGATCTTGCAGTGAAATGGGCATCTGTCAACTGGTCCTATTTAAGCCTATGTGTCTAGTAGCCTGGGGCTGTCTATATAATTAATTTTACTCATGTTAATTTTTGAAGCCCGAGCCCCCATAGAAATTTTGAAATTCCGACGCCTATGAGTAGGAGGGCCGACATTGGACCACTCACAAGAAACCTAAACCAAACTATTGTTACCACTAAAAAAGCGAACGCAATGTGAATGAGTGAGAAAGAGAAAACACGATTGTAGGATTATTTAAACAAAAATTGAGATGGAAAAATGTGAATATTCATATTTTTTCTATTCCAGGCTCTTGAATTTTCCTTATTGAGAAAAACTCGAGAGCCGGGAATAGACAAAAATTGATTTGGAGAAATCGACTTATCATGGAGATTTTTGCTAAGAAAAATGGCATTTTAACTTGAAAATTCTCGTGCCAATTATGGAAAATTCTACACCTCGCACTACATAACTAATTTCAAAACACTTTTCCACACTGAAATCGAGAAATATCCGAGAAAAACCAGAGCAAAATACCTATATACGGCCATTTTTGTTGAAAAACACAATTCTAAAATGGACGCCCAAGGCCTACTTTGATGTTTATTTCGAAAGGTGAAGTTAACTGATATTACAGGGACTCAATACACCTTCACAGTGGCGACAATAAAGGTTTTGTCGCCATATTTTTGCTAATTTTGAATATATTATTGGTGAATATAGAAGTGAGCCAGGCCCCCGCCGCCATATTCTTACCAATTTTCAATATATGAACATAATATAGGATTTCAAAAATAGGACGGCAATTGACACTACTGTAGCTAATATGACAGTTTTCACTTACCATGGATATATTGTTTATGAAAAATTACATTTTATTTGAATATTAATGTGCTGATTATGGAAAATTCAATTCTTCGTACCACTAGAAACATTTTCCGCACTAAAATTTATTGAAAATAGGAAAATATTCGAGAAAAACACAATTTTAAAATGGCCGCCTAAGGCCTGCTTTAATGTTTTTGAAACGTGAAGTTAGCTAATGAATAATTTTCACTTTACTTAATGAAAAATTAGATTTTCCTTAAAAATTTAATTATTTGCAACTTGCACCCCAATAAACGTTATTTTTCGTATAAAACCCATAAAACGTAATAGGGCAATCCAACGACCTGTCAAATCATCAATTCAATATGGCGGCAATGGTCAAACATCTGCGATGTGTGTTTATGTATACAAATATTAAAACCCAATGTGGCGGTTATGGTCGAACAATGGAACTGGCGCCAAGAATATCGTTTACCTACAGACAACCGTGTTATCATAAAACTGTTCTCTGTGTGTAATTTGTGGATTTTTGAGGGGATTTTCTATTGCTAGAAAAGGATAATTTATGTATTTTTGTAGTGAATAAACAAAAAAACAAACACACATCACAGAGATGTTTGACCGTTGCTACCATATTGAATTTATATTTGGACAGGTTGTTGGATCGCAGGGATAATACACACTACTGAAGCATTGCTTATCGCAAGGTTCCTAAAATTAATAGGTTGCCTGGTAATGGGTAACTTAATGACGCATCTGGAGTGCCTTATGAAATATTGCATTATGTTGAGGCGTCCCAGATGACGTCATAAAGTTATCAGGCAACTTACTTCTTTCGGGTCGGTTTCTCAATAGCGAGTCACCTCTGGGTTGGTTTCAACTCCAGGGTAAGCGTGTCCAGCTGCTATGTTTACCCTGGAGCTATGCTTAACCCGGAGGTGACAGCGATTACAGAAAGGTGACAGCGATTACAGAATGGTCAGAGCAAAAATACGTATCGATGACAACTTTGAAATGAAAAGAAAGACTAATGGAAACAAGGGACAACTAGACATGACCACACTTGCACAAAATAAAACCATATACAAAGAGAGACTGAAGCAATATTATCCGTTCACAATCCGATATCCATAGGTACAGGTAAAATTTATCACCTTTCAATGCTATTTGATAGAGAAAGGTGATAAATTTACCTGCACCTGTGGACATCAGATTGT